ATCAGTTGAGAAATGCAGCAGAATAACTAATTTCATTGGTGTGGATGGCTACAGCAATTTCAGCAGGGTAACCTAGGTGAGAAGCAATTTTAAAACTTTGAAACAAACAGGCTGTTTTTCTCTGTGTCGTTGCATTCCTGGAAAGGTGCAATGAATTTTATTTGATGCCTGATTTAATCTTCTACTGCAGTATTTTTCATAGGAAAGGATTTCTTACAAAAATATTTTGATTGGAATGAAACTTGCAAGTATGAACTCATCCAAGCAAAAGGAATAGTGCTGGTAAAGTGACACAGCCTACAAAGAAGATGGTTCATTCCAGACATTGCACCTGTCTCATGTGGCAGTAGAGACTCCCATTGATTCGAGTGGACTTGCCTTACACCTTAAGGTCTCCTGTAGGACTGAGGTTGTTGCATGAACATGTTGGTTATTATTTTGCATGTGGATAATGCCAGAATGTTCAGATCACCATTAGTTTTAAACCCTTAAGAGACCACTCAGAGAAGAGTTAACTGTTCTGTAAAGTTGTGTCTGGAAATTGCATTGGAGTAAAAAATGGGCAGAGAAATGTCAAAAGGAGAAGAACATAGTTTTTTCCACTGAATGTGCCCCATACAAACCAGAGCACTCTCTCTCTCTCTTGCTGTGCTTTGATGAGCATTCCAGGAGAAATGCATGTGTACAATGAGCTCTGTATGTCATCAGTATGATGAATGAATGCTAGACATCTTTATACCCAGACAGCTGAGCATCTCATGAGACAAGGGCTCCATGTACTAATACATCCTTTTGATCCTAGAACCAAGAATCCCTATATGTGGGTGTGTGCACCTTTAAGTCATTTTCCTATGTGTTATTTGCAGCATTACTAATGAAATCTCTTGCAAATATAAATATGTCTAAGATGTGCCACGAGGTTCTTCTTTTCTTCCTAGTCAACATAACTAGTAATTAATTATATAAATCAAATAACTGTTGCCTCTTCCATTTTTCGGATTCAGTTGTCTGGGAAACATGCAGCAGTCTTGGAACCATGTTGCATAATGTTCATAATAACAATCTATAGTCGTCTGTAGCATCTGATTAAATAATTGGTGCCCAAGCTGCAAACTTGCTACACAGCTGCTTAGACATCTGGAGAAGCAAGAAGCTGGTAACAACAGGAATAACTATGAGATCACACTGTGTATAGCTGGCTCCCTGTGTCATTATTGGCACTACAAAGTAGCAGAACTTGGAAAAATTATGTTTTTAGATTACAACTTCTGGTTCACCACTGCCACCACCCTGCAGTCAGCATGGCCAGTGGCGATGATGGCTGAAGTATTCTGGGAGTTGTTCAGAACGTTTTTTCCCCCCTCATCTGTGGTCAGTAAGACTTTTAAGTGGCTGTTTCAGGGCTCTTGGTGATCTGCTGAAGAGGGCAAATCATGTCTCATGTGAAGGAAATTTTTGCTCATCATAGATGAGTATCTAATGACAAGGGAAGTTTTTTTTCTTCTAAAAAAATCGACTCAGGCTGAAACGGAATGGTAGATTTGGTAAAACTTTAGAAGACATATTGCTTATAGTGGCATAATCCTGTACATTGACAGCTCTGCAAGTCATCAAAAATTATTTCCTTTTCCAAAATCTTCTGGGAAATTTGTACAAAGCCTACCCATTTCCCACCTCAATAAATATTTTGCAATATTCCCAGCAGTTCTGCCCCAAGATTAAAGAGGAACAGCTAATTGTAATTCTTAATAAAGTGGTGAAACACTGTTCTAATTTAAAAGCTGTCACCAACAATCTTTTGCATCATCCATTGTGTGGGAACATGAGCCACCTGCTGGATGGTCTCCACACCACCCTGTAGGAGAGATGGCAATATAAGAGGGAGAAACACACATTTTAGCAGATTTCTTTTCATTCGTGTTAGGGAAACATGACTATCAAATAGCAACAATTCCTGGTGCTGCTCCAGTTTCCTGCATCCAAGCAGCATGGTGCATCCTTGGCAGACCTGCATGCAGGTTGCCACATGTCAGCAGAAGGGTTTGTGGCAGCTAGTTGTTCAGCTCTCTCAACACCATAAACACACTTAACTGTTGTTATAAAATAACCCTTCTCAAGCCTACCTTTGTGAAGACTTTCTGAAGGTATACAAAGAAGCCATTTCCCATCTCAGGCAATCAGTATGTTTAAAACAGCAAACATCTCTTCAGTGACTCATCTGACCAGTCCTTGAATCCCAGTCTGTGCATTAAGGAGTTCAGGGAAAATGAAATAAAAGAGCCATTAGTCACTAGCTCAAGGCAGAATGGCTGTCCCTTTGACAATAATAATAATGGGGTACTAGTTTCCCTGCAGAGACTGACCTACTTAAAAAAAATGAAATGTACTTAAGGCCAATTCTAACCTCATTTTCATTACTGTTGTGACCACAGGGTAAAAAAAGTTAGTATGTATGCTTTATCAGTGATTATTTGGATGCTGTCCTAGCTTTGCTGTTTGGCAGATGAGCCCTGAGTCAGGTTATCTCAGGTACTGTTTAAGAGCGCTTGTGACAATGCTAGAAACCATTTTATGTATTTGTGGTTATGTAAGTGTATCAAAGGGACGTGGTGGCACTGCAGATTAAACCGCAGAAGCCTCTGTGCTGCAAGGTTGGAAGACCAGCAATCATAAGATCAAATCCACGTGATGGATTGAGCTCCCATCGCTTGTCTCAGCTCCTCGCCAACCTAGCAGTTCAAAAGCATGTAAAAATGCAAGTAGATAAATAGGTACCACCAGGGTGGAAAGGTAACGGCATTCCGTATCTAGTCGCGCTGGTCACGTGACCACGGAAACTGTCTTCGGACAAATGCTGGCTCTATGGCTTGGAAACGGAGATGAGCACTGCACCCTAGAGTCGGACACGACTGGACTAGGAACCTTTAAGGTTATTCATTTCATTATTGGCCATTTTGCTCTTTTGGGTTCCCAGCTTGTGATACTGAATGTCAGCTAGAAAGAAGCACAATTAATCCTGTCGAAACTGTCTGCAGCAAAACTCAGCATTGTACAACAATGGAAAGCATGAACAATAAAATGAGGTCTGTCTGGGCCAAAGTAGACAGGATGTGAGCAGTCTGTGGATAGGATCTCCTACAAATTTTATTTTTGAAGCATTATTACCTTATCTGCTAATCAGTTCTTTGCTCTTCTTATTTCCCTTGCTTCCAGCCCAAGCTTTCTGGTCTTAACTTTGAAGTTGCTGTTGAGTTACAGCATCCTGTACATGCCTAGTTGGGAATACTGTATAACCTACTGAATAAAGTGTTTCATACTCCCACCAGTAATTTGCTGTTGGATTATAACCTAAGCCTTATATTTCTAAGTGTAGTTAATTTTTTTTCTGTTTTAGAAGAGTCTTGGATGAACTGTCACTTGATCATTGAAATCCTGTGCTAGTACTTTGATTTTATTTCTGTTTGAGGAACACTTGAGGAACATTTTATTTGCTTTGCTTTGAGTTCAGAAATTTTTGACCTGGTTTGAACATAATCCATTTAATTCTCTGTGTATGGTGAGGGAGCAAAATTCCACTTTGTGACTCTGTCCACCTCTAATACCACAATATGTTCGCATATGAGTGAAGCATTTGAATAGGGTTTACATGCATAAAGTCCAGTACATGTAACCCCAAGTTGCATGATATACAGTCTCTTCAGATATCATTAAAGGGATAGAGTTTTCTGGTGTTGGGGGAAGGTGATTGTGGTGCACAAGCAAGAAAGCTGTGATCTTATGGCACCACCAAATTTTGGGAAAGATAGAAGAGAATGTCAACCAAGCCAGCCTTCTTGGAAGCCAGCCTTCTTGGGAGCAACCCTTCATATTTTTGGAAAGCCAAATTGTTATATTGAATGAAATTGCTGTTGCTGGTGTTCTGTATCTCTTGATTGAAATGCCACAGAGCAGGTAGCACAAAAAGTGGTGAGTGCTCCACTCCAACACTGGAGGCATTCGAGAGAAAATTAGACAAACTATCTGTCAGATATGCATTAACTTACATTCCTGCATTGAGCAGGGGATTGAATTCAATGGCCTTATAGGTCTCTTCCAACTCCATTGTTCTATGATTCTAAATGTGGACACTGGAGTGGCATTAGTGACCCAAATTTTCTTCTCTCCCCAGATGCCCAGCATTAAGCAAGAAAACATCAATTTTCCCCAAGCTATTTGTAGAGCTTTGGCCATGCAGAACAGAGCATGACCAATCACTTTGGCAAGGGAGATTGTCCTATCCCAAATCCTCGGGCACACAAAGAAGACTTTATAGTAGGAAGAGTTCATTTTGCCAGGATTTGAAGATCCTGAGAAGCAGCAGCAAAGATTCTCACTGCTTCTGGATGACTCCAAAGAAGGGAGGAGCACCACCAATAAAGGCTGGCTAATGGGTGCCCATGCAGAGTGTCAGTGTGAAGGGTACTTCTAGTAGAAGCTGCGAGTCAAAATGTACTATGCATTTACTCCATGCTTTTGTCATTGACAATTTCTAAATAGAGATGGTAAGGGGAAAAAGATGGAAGAAGATGGTAGAAAACATGAAAAAGTTTCAAAGATAAAACTTTTTGTCATTTGCATCCTATATAAAAATTCATGCCTGAGGCTGTATAAATGAAAGGTAAAAGGCCTCTCTAGAAACGCTATAGTTTATTATAAAGACAGAAGCCAAAACTCTATTGGCAATTGCTGACTATGTCCTTCATAGATGTAATGTGTCGCGATTACTCCAGTGGTCTTTGGCTTGCAGATAAGCAAAACAGAAATTGCCCTATTAAAAATAACATAGCCCCCCCTCCCGGACCCAGTTGGTGTAAAAAGGCAACCATGCATGCAAACAGCCATTGTGTATACCGAATAAGCAAACAGGATTTTGGCCAGATTAATCTCTCTCGACAGCTGCAAGGTTTTGCTTTGTGTTTAGTCTAATAAAAAAAATTCTGGTTTTGTTTTTATCTTGGCAGTGTATTAGATGACGAAAGCAGCAATTTGAGACAACAAAAGCTTGACAGACAGGTGAGCTTGCAAACTATCCTTCTGTCTTTTTTTAAAAAACTTCATTTTGATAAATTATAGACCTGGCTGAGAAATAAGGCTAATTCTGATGTTTTTAAAGAGTTTATTTGAAAGTTGGAGGAGAGAGTTCGACTGCCACACTGCACTGATCCTTATCTACAAAGGGAGAGGAACTGTAGAAGGAGGGAGTCTTCTGATATATGTGGAGTCTCTGCACAAAACTGGGGATCCTGAAAAATCATCATTCCTGATTATATGGAGAAGGTCCATCTGGAGCATATTATCTCCCCTTTTTGGGTGGCCTTTTTATGTGGAGACAGCAACAGGCAAGGAGTACAGCTAAAACTTTCTGTCTGCTCGTACTTTCAAGTCAGCTATTATAGGACTATATACTCACAGCTTTCTGGCTATTAAATCTACTAGGTTATTGAAAAGTGAAATATTGTATTCCTATGTAGGCTTTGAGGGGTACCTAGGGTTAGCTCTGTGTAGCTTCCTGTTCAGGAAAAAAAAACACTTTCAGCTAGCATCAGAGCAGGAAAAGGAAGCTTGGAGAGAGTTAAACCTAGCTAGGCTTTCTCCCAGGTAAGCCATGTTTAGATGTATACCTGTCTGGTAAAACTCTCAAAATGGAGAATTATTGGATTTGTAGTCCAAGAATCCCCAAATCCCATCCCTACGTAATACTATCTTGTTCAATATGTCTTGTTGAGGTATCCAGGAAACCTATATGCCACGAGGTTTCCATATTAGTGTAGCATTTCATCTGATATGGATGTGTGTCTTTGCATTTTTCCTAGAGAGCTTTGCTAGAACAGAAGCAGAAGAAAAAAAGACAAGAGCCACTGATGGTTCAGTCCAATGTGGACAGTCGCACAAGGACACGCAGAATGAAACAATCAGAAGAGCAAGCTCCACTTGTTGAATCTTACCTCAACAGTAACAGCAGTACTATTTATCATGGTATGTGCAACTATATATTGCAGAATGAGAAGACTGACCAGGATACTGGGTTTGAGTCAAGTAGGCTGAAAATATCTTAGTAGACTACTTTCATATTAATAATTTATTTATTTATTTATTGGATTTCATGGGCTGAATCTAATTGTTCCAACTCAGTGGGACTTTTAGAAGTGTTGACTTACCAAACATTCAGTGTACCTATTGGTTTTAGGATTTAGCTTTATAAATTCAGCTCTCTCTCCCCCACACCAAAAAAATTATGTAACAGAAACCAGCCTAAATGTAAGCACCAACACTAAAGTATCAAGGATTTTCCAGGCAGTTCTAAGATAAGATTAAAAGGGCTGCTGAAATAAGATTTAAAGGGCAACTAAAACATGTGGGAAATTGTATGTTTTAGTCACCCTTTTAATTTTATTTCAGTAGTTCATGAAAGAGTATTTTTGGTTCTTTTTCTTCCAATGGAAGGTTGGAGGCAGGGGGATTTCAGTTAGACATTGGCAGAACTATTAAGAAAGCAGCTGTTCAGCAAATTTGCTTTATTCTGAAATAATTCACCATTTATTCATATTACATTCATTCATATATAACATTAGGATTGTTTTTGTTGTTGGCAATGAATTTCTAATAACTTTTAGGAAGAAACTAAAGAGAGTTGTTTTTCACCAAATAGAAGAGGACAAGTTGTCAACAGAATCTACATTACTTTTTCATGCTATGTGTGAGCTGACTATATATAACATTTGCAGATTTTGCTGTTCTTTCATGATAAGTAATTTCCTTTCTCCCATACTCTCATTTTTATAAAAATGAACCAACCAGACCTGAATTTTATCTTGAAATTCTATCTTTAAAAACAACAACACATGGGTCATTTGTTCTCTACATTTGAATCAAGTCAATAAACATTTGATGTAGAACAGCAGTGCAACTCAAACTATCTTAGCAGTTAGTGTCTATTTTCTTGCTCCTTCATTCATTCATTTTATGTAACCTTATTCTATTTTAATTGGTTGATATGCAGTACTTTGCTTGAAATGCACGTAAAACTGAGACCTACTTGTAGATCTTAAAAGTTTTAAATTGGTTTATCACCTTGCAGAAATATTCTATGAGGAAAATTAGTTTTGGCAACACTGCACATATGCAGTGGCTTTTCTCCTGCCATTGGATCCTCTTTGCACATTTCAATGTATGATTAAGTGCTCAAATTTGCAATCACTGCGGCATTAGGTGTGCAACAAAGAGCATGCAAGGGAGGAAAGTTTATGTGACTGCACAAGTAAATAGGATTCTGCCAATATTTTTTAAAAATTGCATTGCTGATCTGTTTTGCATTTTTGCATTTAAAAAACTTTTTTAAAAGTACAGCACTAAAGCAACTGTAGAACAGCCTTTGTCATTTTAATGGCATATTACCAGCAATGTTTTCTGGATTTGCCCCAGTGCTGGCTGGAAGCTTTCTTTCTGAGCAAAAAGCTTGGGTGGAAGTTGGCCTAGCAGAGCTTTGCAAATTAGGACTTTCTCCCAGGTGTATCGCATTGAGGTATTTGTAAGATTCCTTTAAGGTAGGTGGAACGTCCAGAATGGAGAACTGTGGTGTTTGTAATTCAGAAAATTTGAAAATCTCACCCCTAATAGTAGTAGAAGGCAGTAGTAGAAGGCAGTAGATGATAGGAGGGCCTGGCGTGCTCTGGTCCATGGGGTCATGAAGAGTCGGACACAACTAAACGACTAAACGACGACGAATAGTAATGTGGAAGAGAGAATTTCAGCAGTGTGACACAAGAGGCTGGTGGGTGAAATCCTCTCTTTCCCACAACTATTGAAGCTGTGGGAATCCAGTCCTCTGTTTAATATAGTGGTGCCTCAACTGATGACCATAATCCGTTCCAGAAGATAGACGTAACTCAAAATCAAAGCACCTTTTCCCATAGGATGACGACGAATAGTAATGTGGAAGAGAGAATTTCAGCAGTGTGACACAAGAGGCTGGTGGGTGAAATCCTCTCTTTCCCACAACTATTGAAGCTGTGGGAATCCAGTCCTCTGTTTAATATAGTGGTGCCTCAACTGATGACCATAATCCGTTCCAGAAGATAGACGTAACTCAAAATCAAAGCACCTTTTCCCATAGGATTACATTGAAATGCAATTAATCCGTTCCAGCCAAAGAAAAAAAATTACCGAAATCAATCAATAAATCAATCAATCACTGCAAGATTCATTGGAAACATGATTAATCCCTTCCAGCTGAAGGGGGGAAGAAAAGCAATCAAGCTTGCAAGACCCATTGGAAATGCACAGAAAACAGATCGGAAATGCACAGAGAACAAAGGGGGCAGGTCGGAAATGCAAAGAAAACAAAGGAAAAGGCAAGGGAAGCATGCAGGACCCATTGAAAATGGGGGAAAAACTCAAACAAACAAACCCCCCAAGACCCATCGGAAATGAGGGGAAAAAAACAAAAAAGCAACCAACCCCCCCCCAGACCCATTGGAAATGGGGGGAAGCCAAAAACCAAACAACCCCCCAAGACCAATTGGAAATGGGGAAAAACACCAAAAAAGCAACTAAACCTCCAAGACCCATCGGAAATGGGGGGAAAAAACCAAACAGTTTTGAAAAACCAGAAAACAACACCTTACCTTACCAGGCAGCCCAAAGCCTCCCTGCAAACCCATACACACTCACTCAGAAGCAGAAGCAACGCAGTCCCAAGCCTCCTCCGACACACACTCTCTAAGTGCTGGGGCAAAAGAGCTACAAAGAAGCAGCCTCATCATCGCCTACAGTTAGAAATTTGAATTTCCCACCTTTTTCCCCTGCCTTTTTCTGTTTGTAAGTGGACAATCCGGTCGCAAGTAGAAGCAAAATTTTGCAGCCGGAGCTGGTTGTAACTC